AAGTCTCTGATGGTTTGTTACAAGGGGTGCTTCAAAAGGTTCATTGGAAAGTGGAATGGAAAGATAATGGAATTTGTCAAGGCAAGTCACATGGTGAAGCCATGGATGACTATGGGTGGGGGTGCTGCAAGGGCCTGGATACTGAGGTGTGAATCAGCGTCGACCATGCATGTCACAGTCTACCACTGTGTGTAAATGTTCCCTCGTAGACAGGACTGCAAGATAGGCTGACTTTAACTTCTAAAGTATGGCTCTTTTACAAATATGGGTGGCACAGTGCTTAAAGCACTCGACCGCTATCCCAAAGGTCTTTGGTTTGAACCCAACCAGCTGCTCTGTGGATGAATGATGTGGCCGTGCTCTTCCTTCAACATGAGAGCGTCAGGAGCGATGTGATTGCTAGAACATGGAAGCACTTGGAGTCGCCCGTATTAATGTGCTGGATCCTACATCAAATACTTGCCTCCTAAGATTTGTTATTTTTTAGCAGTGGCCATGGGAAGTTATATACCACTGCCTCAATCAAATAAGTAGATGCTTCCTAAATGCTTCTTAAACGAATCAGGAGTTTCTTATTAAACTCCCACTGTGTTCCAGGGACTTCACTCACAAACTGGGTCACCAAATCTCTCCCCAGGGAGCCTTGTCGGTGCTGTGGGGGAGTCATTGGGCTGTTAACTGCAATGTCAACAGTTCAAGCCTACCAGCTACTTGAGAAAGACGAAGTGATTCGCTCCTAGAAAGACCACAGTCTCAGACACCATATATAGGATCGCCGGGAGTCAGAAGGGACATGATGGTGATAGAGTACCCTGTTGTTTGCCACATTTTATCATTGAGAGAACTGTGTTAGTCAGGGTTGACTAGAGAATAAAGCCAGAGACCCTCATATGTGTGAAATAGAGAACTTTCTATCAAATAGTACTTGTATATTAAGAAAACATCCCAGCCCAGTCCAGATCAAGTCCATAAATCTGATATTAGCCCTTATGTCCAATACCCGTCTATAAATTCCTCTTCAGACTCATGCAACACATGCAATGTTGTTGAATGCAGGAAAATCACAGACCAGTTGGTGAAAAGTCTTGTGGATCTAGTGGCAGTAGAAGCATCTCAGCACTCGTCTCCAGGTGGCTCCTGCAGCTCCAGGGCTCTAGCTCCATCAGGTTTATCAACAGGAATGTGTAGCAGTCTGTGTGTCTGCCCTCCAGGGGGGAAGACAGGAGTTCCCAGAATCCTCAGGATTGGTATCACTACAGAGGCCTCATTGGCTGTGACCTGATTGGCAGGCTAGACTCCACCCCTTTGCAAATGGACAGATTCTGTAACTGCACAAGGATGGAGGTGCAGAAAGCCCAAGGTGGAAGGGTAGGAATTCCATCCCAGTTCCAATCGGAGTCTATTCCCTGTACAGCAGCGCTGCTTCCTTTTTGTTTCAGAAAGTTAGCCAGGGAAAGGATGACCTCAAGATGTTGCCAGAGGGACAAGGCAGAACCAGGAAGTTTTGAAATTCTCATTTTTCTCAAGGCTATCAATAGTTTGTTATGATCCACACAGTCCAACACAATTAGTTCATAGGCCAGCAATAATACTACCAATAGCTACTACGAAACTTCTTTACAGCATATGTTTTCAGTTAGTCCTCAATCTCATGAACTCAGTTTTATTATTCTTAATTTATACACGAATTAACCATGGCCCAGAGAGATGTTCCAGTTTTTAAGTAGTGAATCTAAAAGTTGTCTATTTGACTAAAAGCCCTGAAAAACGTTTAGCTGTGGGTCTTGTTCGATTGTGGTGCTGATGAAGTGGGGGATTGTGAATCTTATTTATGCTAACCTGCGCATGAATGTGAGTAATTTACAGAAACAAAACAAAAAATGCAGAATAAAACAAAACATACCCAAGCCTGGATCTCTGTCAAGTGAGGTTTAAAAGCCTACCTTGGGGTAGAGAGTGGTAAGAATCCCTACTCTTTCATTCACTGGTTTGGTCCCTGAACTTCTATTTATCGCTCACTTGTTTGCGCCTGTAAAGATTTCGTGTTGGAAACCCTCTGGCGCAGTTGGTGAGTTTTGGGTATCCGGGCCCCAGGCTAATCTCGGAGAGGGAGAGGTGAACAAGATAAATGTGATCTTTGCTCCTCCTCCCCCTGATCCTACTGGACCAGGAATTCAAAGAAGCAGGAACTAGATCCACTGGGGTGGGAGTGGGGGTGGGGAGGAATGACTTGGGCATCTGCGGCGCTGGAGCCGTAGGAACCGTTCCGAGCCCCCTGGAACAGTCGCGGTAGGTGAACAAGATAAATGTGATCTTTGCTCCTCCTCCCCCTGATCCTACTGGACCAGGCATTCAAAGAAGCAGGAACTAGATCCACTGGGGTGGGAGTGGGGGTGGGGAGGAATGACTTGGGCATCTGCTGCGCCGGAGCCGTAGGAACCGTTCCGAGCCCCCTGGAGCAGTCGCGGTAGGTGCCCCGGGGCAGTGGCATCCAGTTGGTGGACAGGAGCCCGGCTCCGAGCCCAGCACCGGGGGCGCAGAGGTGGACCGGGCC